TAATATTTACGCAACCGACAATTGATGCATTTGTGAGTGTAAGTGCATCAAATTATTTCCAATGTTTCTCAAAAACTCTCGAACGTTTCTAAAAAGTTTTATCTGAAAATGAGTTCAGAATTGCCCATTTTCAGAAGCGCGCAAATGCTGTTTTCTCTAAAATGACTATTTTTTTTAATTGTTCTGTAAGGATAATCCTAAATGCACTGAATTATATATTAATACCTCATCAATATATTTTTTGGGTTTTCGAAAATTACAAAAATACTATTTTGAAATATATCTCAGGTCAGTATTTACATTTCGGGCATTTCTTATACACTATCGAATTTTTTAGTACAATTGCTTCAAATAATTTCTTATGGAGTATCTTAAAAACTCTTAAAGTTTTGTCCAAAAATTAGCTCCAAAATGTGTACTTTCAGATACACTTCAACAATTCTTATAAAAGGGTCCAAATTTTCCAAAGAAAATGTGCATACATGACCAGAGTTTACCTTTCTATATTATAATTAAAGTTGTATTTGAATTCTAACATTAGAAATTCGAGGAATTAATGAAACGTGAAAACGTTTTTTGGGCCAATAGAAGGCAGGCTATACCGAAAGATAGCACGAGACAAGCAAACTAAATAGCAAGGGAAAGTATGTGCCATTCTGAAGCACGATTATTTACTTTCTCGTATACATACGTATATATGGAGTGATCTAGTTAGAATAGAAAAAGTTACGTAATGCTGCGGAAAATCGATTTTGAGACTTCAATGGAAATTCAGGTTCTGGGAACCCAGATACCGAACCCGAAAAAGAGTTTGTTGTTGTTTTTCCTCAAAACGCTCGTCCGTCTGTGAACAACACTAATGCCTAAACTATGCGTAAGATTTTTTCTGAATACCCACTGATTGATCTGGACTCGCTGGAAGCTCTACAAGTTTGAATAATATTCATTAACTCTTGTGAGTAGTTTACATGAAACCCCTGGGACATTTTCAAAATTTTCTCAAAAATTGCTACAATATATTTCTTTAAATTTGTTGTAAGACTTTGTAAAATTAGAGGTGGAATTTTACTGGTAACTACATGTTCGAAAATTGCAAAATTTTGAAAACTTTTTATCTTCTTACAACTACAAAATTCAAAATGGATATTTTCCCTTCAAATGAATTTTTTTCCTCAATTATTCTTTTGTTAATATCATGTACACTTTTTGAAATTTTACATTTTTTGCATTTAAAAAAATCTCAAAACGGCTTCAATTTCTTTCTTTAAACGTTTGTTACGGGAAGTACTACAAGCGCTGTATACGATAACATAAACACGATATTGTTCTATTCTTTGGTTTTTCAAAAATTACACAATTGCACTGATTTGTATAGATTATTCAATTTATTAAAAAGAGTGCTTCAAGTGATGTCTTATGTTTTCACTTATAATTTTTCGAGAACTCAGAAGTTTTCTGTGAAAATGAGCTCCAAATTCCGCAAGAGATGTCAAAAAATTACAAATACATATTTTTTAAAAAAACAACAAAGGAATAGAACAAAATGACGTTTATGTTATCTCTTACAGTATATATAACACTATCCCTTCCAAAAGTGAAAAAACAATTGAAGCTGTTTGGTGTTTTTTATCTTGTACATTTTCACTCAATATAGTGTAAAAAACAGTAAGTTTCAACAAATTTCATTTGAAGGAAAAATTTCTACCTTCAATTTTGTAGTTGAAAATCGAACGCATGCCACCTTTATATTTTCTCCATTCTTCCAAATCATATGGAGTCATTTTTGACAAAAGTTTGAAAAGGTCCCTGGGGCTTCATGTAAAGTACCCCCAAATAATTAATGAATGTTATTTAAAATCGACAGCCAGCCATCTTTCACACAGCACATGGTGAGAGTTGAATGACCTTGTTAACAACGCGAAGCCGTCTCTCGGCCTGCCACATCCACAGCCTATCGGAAAGTGCATGGGGGGAAAAACGAAAGATACAAATGGAACAGAGAGATATACTTGAGGAGTGAAAAAAACATTTTTAAGAAAAGTTTTAAAAGGGCCGAGAAACCTGGGGTCGCGACACATCACTCCCGTCTATTAAGCATACGCCACCGGTTATCATACAAGTGGCTATACGAGATCATTATGAGCAAATGAGATTATTATTCATGAGAGCGGAATATAATTACCAACTAAATATTCACAAGTGAGTGCACGATGACTAACGGCACATAATGGACTTTTAGATACATGCAGTATAAGGTTTGTCCAAAAAGTATTGAGACTGAGTCTATAAACACGAACATATTCATCCGATTTTAACAAATGCTCAAAAATAATACCCTTGTGCGTCGATGCACCGCTGTCAGCACGATTTTCATGAATCGCTCCCGGGAAGTCAGCTTCCGAAATTCCTATTAAAGAATTGGTTACGGCCTTCTGGACGGCGGAAATGTCATCAAAAAGGCGATCTTTCAGGGCGTATTTCACTTTAAGGAAAGAAAAAAACCTGCTGGACTTACATCTGGTCTCCACGGAGGCTGTGGCAAAGTCACCCCGAGCCAGGTACGACGTCACATGGAAGGCGGTGTGGCTCGGAGCATTGTCGTGGTGGAGTTCCGCCGATCGGTAATATCTGGTCGTCTCTTCACGTGTCGGTGCATTCTCGGTTACAATGTTGTGTACGGTTGATTTCCACATGTCCAGTTCTTCCGCTATTAATCGCAGACTCAACCACGACGGTCGGAGTCTAAGAGTTCTTTAACATTTGGCACGTTTTCGACAGAACTCGTTGAAGGGCATCTTTGTCCTCTACTGGGCTCTTAGCGAAAAACGTGGGCTTTGGACATGGCATTTTTTCTGAAGGTCTGCTCAATCAATGCCCAAGAGAATCCAGAATTTGATGACGTATCATTACTCGTACGTCATGACGTATTGTCCGCTCCATTTTTCGCTTTTTATTCAGTGACCAAAATGAAACTAGTGGTACTATCGAATGGCACAGACATCCCTTATTAGTTTTCTATTTCCATCGGCCAGCTATTCGGGCTTGCCACAATCTCTTGCCAGCTACCATCTATCGCCGCCCAAAGAACATTTGTTTTTGTTTTTTCGGCATTCTAACACAACGGAAATATTATATAAAGAGTAAAACATCGTCATATATGGCATTTTCTTTGAAAAAATTTGAGCAGTTTTTAAGAAATTTTAAGCACTACTGTAAATTCGAATTTTGAACCTCTCTTCACAAAAAACTATTGAGTTTTCGAAAAACTTCATATGAAGCCATTTCAAGCACTTCTAGTCACAAACGCAATAGTTTTTTACAAATCGCTGAAAATAAGCATATGAAAGACGTGAGAGATATTAAAAAATATGTTTGTGTACTTTTTTAAGAAACAAATAGAGAAAAATTGTCATCTTAAACAGTGCAATTGACACTATCGGTTGGAAAAGTTTGAAGAAAAAAATTTGGAGCCGTTTCTTAGAAAATGAATATCGAGCTCATTTTCACGGAAAACTGTTGAGTTTTCAGGAAACTTTATCAAACATTATTTAAAGCACATAAACTAACAATATCATTATTGTAAAGAAATTGCCTCTAATGTAAATATTAAAGTTAGGGACAATTTTAAAAAAATCATTTTTTTGTAATTTTTGAAAAACAAAATAGCGCAATATGCCGTTGTCATCTTATAGAGTGAATTTAGGACAATACACACCAAAAGTTTAAAAAAAAAATCTGGAGCTGTTTTTGAAAAAATGTCCTGAGTGCTTCATGTAACATACCCACCAATTTTCGAGAATGTTTTTAAAAATAAAAAGTTTCAACTCGAGCCGGATGGTCCGAAGTATCTTCGATTTGGAAAAAAATCCTACGCACACTTTAAGCGTTAGTGGTGTTCACAGATGTACGTTTTCAAAAGAGCCACTCTTTCGGTATTAGGGGATCTCAAAACGAGTATTTCGGTCGGAATCGATTTTCCGCAGCATAACATATCTCTTCCTACACTACACTACGTATATACATACGGTATATGGGAAAGTAAAATCAGTTTGCGCACAATCTAGTGGTTCTACAGAATGGCACAGACTTCCCGTTTTCCATTTCCATTGGTCTTGATTAGCCATTCGGACTTGCCACGTACTCGTGCCAGCTGCCATTTAACGGCGCCCAAAGTACATTTATTTAAAAAAATTTTAATTTGTTGATTCCCTGGTAGTAGAACGGAAATATTTTAAGAATATTAAAGAACAGTAAAACCTCGTCATAATTGGCAATCTTATTTGGAAAATTTGGAGCCGGTTTTAAGAAAATGGCGTTTAAGTGCTACTGTCAATTCGAAATTTGAAACGCTTTTCACAGAAAACTATGGAGTTTTCAAATAACTTCACATGAAGTCATTTAAAGCACTTTGCATTTGCACAAGCAATTTGAAAATATGTACATGACCTTAATGAAAGAACTAATTATAGACTACAAATTTTATATGAAAACCTTTCTTCGATTGTGTAGTTGTAGGAAGACACCACATAAAATTCAATTACCCGTGAAAATCAGACCTATGCCACCTATCCCATTTATAAGTGTATTTTTCTCTATTCTTACAGAAATTTGGTGAAGTTTTTGAGAAAATTTTGAAAATGCCCAGGGGGTTCATGTAAAGTACCCCCAAATTTTGAAGAATGTTTTTCAAAATCACAGCACCTCGAGTGGAACCAGATTGACCGGGGAATATCCACTTTGGAAAAAATTGTATGCATGGTTTAGGATAGAGTGGTGTTCACAGACAGAAGGGTGGAGGAATGTTTTGGAAAAGAAAAAAAAATTCGATATCAGGGGACCCTGAATGTACTTCCGTTGAAATCTCAAAATGGACTTTTCGCAACAGTGCATAAATTCCCTTATACGTACGTATAAGGGAAGATAATTGACCCAGGGCAAAATGAAAATAAAGTAAAGGTTATCAGGACCTCCTCCCCGAACAACCTACACTTTCAACATAAACCTGAATACAAGTTAGTATCACCAACAATATTTTAGTAAGTCCACCATTAAAATGGTTAAAAGAAATAAACGATTATCTTAAACCAAGGTTATCACATTATAAACATAATTTTTATTGTGTGCAAAATATTTGAACAGTTTGCAAGAGGACAAAAATTTGAGATAATGAGCAACTTTACACAACAAATCCAGAAAAAATACATATTTATCAATTTTCTTATCGATAAAATTCATTTTATTTTCATTTATTTTACTTATAATATCTTACACTCCGAAATAAAATTCATGAAAATTAGCATGTAAATTTTGAGATTAGAAAAATGTCAAGCTTTAGTGACAATACATTCATGTATCCAGTTTTTAAATATGTAGAATATTTGGCCCTCAAATACTAGTAAGATAAGTCAAATACTAGAGAGTGATTAAATATAATTATTAAGTCTAGAATGAATATAAATACAGTAGAAAGACATTTTTGTCCTCAATACCATACATTCTGAAACCAGGTTTCTCATTAACTATAGTATTTTATTACATAGTTGAAGAAACCAAAAGACTTAAACGCATACTGTATAATGAAGGACACGAGATAGAAAATTTTAGGAAAGTTCAGCTTATAATTGATCTAATTCAGCGATTTTCCTTAAAAGCTAACCAAACCTCCAAGATTTATTTTTAATACAAAATGTTTTAAGTGTTTGATAAATTAATTTCATACAGTAACAATTGCAATAGTTAAAGACAGCTTTTGGAAAACCATCTTACATTTCACATCAATAAAAAACAAAATCTTGTACTGCTGCACTACAACAGCAGCAGGATAAATAATAGAACATCAAAATTATTCAAATACTAATCTCTCTGGAATGCTTCTTATAGTTAGAATATGGAAGATCTTTAATAATTGATCTTAAATTGATATTACTTAAAGAAATACTGTAAACTTCATTTTAATTCTCATGTGAAATGAGGCCAAATTATTAAAATACAATCTAGATGCAATATGTAAAAATAAAATAATGATATAAATCATTATTTTGGTATTTAAATACCTACTATCTAATCATTCACAAACATTACAAATCCTAAAATACATTGATCTCCAACCTGCCACAAATCTATTTACCAGTCTTCATTTTTCAGCTTTTATAAGAGAAAAATGTCAAACTATACATTATGGAGTTTAAAATATGAAAAGTCGTTCAAGACAATTCTATCACTTTATGATGTTCCTTTCCACTATTGAAACCACTTTATATCAATCAATCTATATCAATTAATTTACTAACTATAACAATTCCTTAAAATCCAAAAATTTAGTATTTGGCAATTTTTATTTCACCCACATTGACATAATAATACTTTTATATCTGCTATTTACACTATCATTTCTTTATAATTGTTATCCACCTACAAAATTGCAGCTGGAATGAATTTGAAAACCAACTGAATTAAGAGATTCCATTTCCATTTGGGAAAAAAAAAGCTTCCACTGAATGGCTTAATATTATTTCATATATACTAATTTATAACAAAATAAATCTAAATATAAAACAGTTCTTATATAAAGATGCATTCAGTGAAAATCCATGTTACCATTCAACAAAATGTAATAGTATAAATTGTAACCAAAGCAAACAATACACCTGATGCAAGAGTACTGTAGCATTGGTAAGAGTACCAACACAGAATTGAAGATAACATGGATAGAGAGCATGTCAGTCCTCTGCACATTGACCCCTCTTAAGAAATGCCTTTCTATGTTTCCACATTTGACAATATTGATTAAATAATTATTAAAACCAAGTACAAAAAGTGTTTGTCCAATCTTTACAAGCAAATTATTTTAATTCTGCAAATATTAACAAAAATTATTCTAATTTACATTTCCTTTCTAATTGAAAAGGCATTACAGATTATTGGGGTATTATGTTTTCAAACATTTTAAGTACAAATTAATGTGCAGTAGAGGCCAAAGTAAAACATAAATATAACAAATAAAATATTTTATTACATAATAAAATTATTTTCCTTACAAAAACTGGCATTTATTTTATTTTTGGCGAAATATTGTGCGGTGTTGAGGCAAAAATAAACGTGCTGTGGTTTGAAATAACTGAACCTTAGCTATCACCAGCCCCTTCAGATTGAATGAACAATGATTTTTCCAAATTGTGTTGTAATGGTAGAATAATAGGATCATCTTCATCTTCTGAAATGAAAAACCAAATAATGTAAATACATTCATCTAAGAAAAACAAATATTTGGAGAAAATGGATGTAGCTTATCAATCTTTATTATTTTGAAGATAGTTTTAAGAATCAACTAATAATAAAATCATATTGAAATTATCCAGAAAATGCCCCTTTTTATTTCATGGATTCGTTCAGAGAGTAAGGTCTAAAAGAAAAAAAGGAAAAGGAAAAAAGAAGAGAGAAAGAATGAAAAAAAAGAAAAGGAAAAAGCTCTGAATTACATTAGTTTCACAAAGGTTGAAGACCGAAATATTAACTTTTTATGTTAACTTAAAATTGACAATAGCACACCATATTAGATGCCATCTAGTACTCCTTTCAAGTGCTGAACACTGCTGAATAAACTAGTAAAATGATACTTACAAATAATTTACTATAACATTACAATGTAAACATTGTCATAGAATGCAATAAAATGGTTCATAACATTCACCACATATTTAAAAAAAGTCATTATAATAATCACTTCATAATTAATATTATTATTACAAACTGTTTATAATTATATTCAACCCAACATTTATAGCACAAAAACATCATAATTACATGACGTATTTTTAACACAGAACAGGAAAAAACATCTTACCAGAGTCATGATCTGAAAGTGATTTTGGAGATAGATGACAACCCCGTGCCAAATAGGACAACAGCTTTCCTCGAGCTGCTAGTATAAGCCCAAGGAATGGAGGAGATGGGCTAAGAGGGCGAGATAAATACTCGGGATGATACTGAGTGGCAACATAATATGGATGACCTTCCAATTCCATAATTTCCATACGTTCTTTGTTCAAATCATGGCCTGAAAAATAAAAAAATATTTTTGCTATCACACTCTTTCAAAAGTTTGTAAAATCTTCAGAATCATTAACAAAATCATTTCTACCATGTGGCTTAAATTTATATTACAAACCTTACATTTATTTATCAAAATCAAAAAGAATTAAAATTAATTCATCAATATTGACCCCACCTAGAATTTTATTAGTAAAGAATGATCACAATATAAAAATTGTATCAATACTTCAAGTGAATATCAAGTAGTGCAGAGGTTTAACCCAATGTTTGGAAACACACAAAGCTTCATTTTCAAATTTTCAGTTTAATACTCTGTCATGATGTAGAAGAATTTACAAACAAAGATTAATACTTCAGTCAATAAATAGACTCCAATCCAATAGACCAATCCAAAGGAACTTGCATGAAAGATTTATTCCTTCTACTACAACCCAAATAAAGAACAAAATCTTTAATTATAATACTTGAATATGCTTTCTATAAAAAATTAGGATTTCATTAAATGAATCTTTAAACATTGACTATATTACATGCATTAATAATGAAGTAGAACTCAGTAAGTATCCAAGTTATATTTCACTTTATCTGAGGATTAATTTTTAAAAGTTCCAAAACAACAAAACCATGTGTATTTTAATTTTCCTCCAATACAAAGGTTCTTCTTAGCAAGATTTCTCATTCCTGAAGTAGATTATTAAATTCCATTGATTGAAAAGTTGCCAGAAAAATATAACAAATGAGGTCCTCTGATTGTCTTTCCACCTTAAAATGATTCATTTATAGTATTTCCCTACAAATGATTTTACTTTTCTACTCTGGTAACAGCTGTCACATTGCTTCCTTTATATTTTCCTCTCAAGTTTTCACTTTTCTGAGAATATGATCTTAGAAAAACTTTTGTACAGGTCTCCCTGAATGGAATAGACAGGAGAAGAACCAAAAATGGATTACAAGGATCCTCACAAGGTATCAAGATGATGTGGCTTTCTATGTAATGAAGGTAATAATAATAATAATAATAATAATAATAATAATAATAATAATAATAATAATAATAATAATACAATAAAAAAATTATACACTAAACTAGCTTTTCTACAACAAAGAAATTACAAAAAATAATACATTTTGGTAGAATATAGAGACATAACCTTAAAACAATGCCAATTCAGTCAAACCTCAAATGAAACTTCCATTTCAATGAATTGGAAGGGTCACGTGAATAAACTTCACAAAATTAAGTTTTATGCTACATATTCAGATGCTTTTATATTCAGTCAGCCTTTAAACTACTCGTTGTGCGTATTTCACAAATGTTCATTCCTGTCTGACACACAACATAATATTCTGGCAAAACACATCCTACAGCTCCCAAGTTTTTAGATTACAGAAAAGAATTGAATAAGCAAATCCCACCCACATGATTCCTGTAAGCCTATGTTTATTACCATTATTATTCCACAATTACAATTATTATTATTGTACCATTTCTTCTTGCCTCTTCATATACGAATAAAGAGGATTTGTCAAATATGACTTGTTCAAAGGTGAGATCACACTTTTAGATGAATACAGATGCCTATAACTACAACATTGGACCTAGTAATCATATACATTAAGTGTCAGTAGGTACAGTACTATACAAAAAATATGTTATTTTACAACACATTGCCAGATGACATTAAACAACTAAATTTAATGCCTAAGTTTAAGAGTCAAGTAAAATTTTGTCTGCTGCAAAACTCTTTCTACAATCAGAGACTACACTGAGGAAAGTAATATTGATTTTAAAAATGATATTTCATATATTAGTTACCAATGAACCTGTGTAATTCTAAAATACTAAAGATGTCTGTAAGAAGAATTGTACCTTAATGTCGCCCATCTCCATCAACTTTTTCATCCAGTTTACCTGATCCTTTGAGCGAATGCTGAGAAGGCCCATTGTTTTGCTTCTAGACATAAATTTAACTTCACTCTCTGTGCATGTTTTCTAGAATTCACAGGGAAATATAATCCATAAAATTCCAACCTTCAATGAAAAGGTTGAAACTTGAAGGTTTATAAGTTCCTGATGTGCTTATAGATAATGTTGTAGTACCTCATCATACAAAAAGTGAAAAACTTGGGCCCAATACTTTATGATCATCTAAGCTGAGAATATCAGATCCAAAATGTCTGTCGCGAAATTTATGTTTCTTTGCAATCCCTTAGATATATTAATAAATGTCTCCCTACTAATACGAAAGAAATGTTAGTCATAACCCTGCTGTATCCTCATTTCGACTATGGTGATATTGTGTATAACAATTTGATTCACTCGCTCAAACTCTACAGAGGGTTCACAATTCTTGTATTTGTTTCATTTATAACATAAAAAATACACTTCTCCAGTGTTTATAAAGAGCACACTAAAGGATAGGTGTTTGTATCACAGCCTTCGTCTTTTATTTAAGATGCTAAAAAATGGGTTCTCTAACATCCTTAGACTATTTATTAAATACATCTTAAATCCTCTAGATTTCAGAAATCTCAGTTACTCTGTATTCCAAAAAGCAAAACCAACTACTACAATAAATCTTTTGCAATTACTGTAGCCTGGCAATGAAATAAATTGCCTTCCAATATTAAAAACTGCTCCTCATTAACATCTTTTTAAAAGCACCTGAAGGATTTTCTTACACAGTAGAATATATTATTTTGCAATTTAAATCATGGTAGATTACCAGTCAAATAAAACCTATTCCTTAGGAGTGTTAAGGATTAATATGTTTTAGAAATAGCATTAATGTTCTTTGGTAAAAAATGTTAATTTCTTGTGACCTGTTTGATATGGCCAGAACTATATTTTCATCCGTAGGAGCAGAGGCGGATTTGAACAAGAAAATGACACTTTGCAGCATGGACCACAGCTGAGGATACTATCCCAAAGACTCATTTCTTCATATTAGCTTAGTTTCCAGTGTATTAGGACGCAGCCCACCTCGTGGGCTTTTTCCCCGACTAGCGGGTTTTCCTCGAGCATCGAGCAGCGGGTGAGGTAGTCTGTCTTTCTGTATTAATAGATCACAGTCGCTCAGGGTGAATACCAAGCTATTGCTTAGTGGGCAGATATGTAAAACACATATCTTATTTGATTCAAATTGTGTTTTAATCAAAATCTTTGTCTATGAGTTTCAAAGTTATTTTGAACATATTATTGTAACATTGTCCATTTAACCTCTGATGTAAAGTATTTATAAGTTGCTTTAAATAATATATGTTTTCCACTAACTACTTACCACTTGTAGATTACATGACATTTAATTTTTTTTAGATTACATTACTTTTTTCAAACTAATCTGTATATTTAAGACATGTGGTTAGGAGGAAGAGTGAGCCTGATGGCCCAAGCCACGCCATATCAATAAAGGCATATTATTATTATTAAAATGTCAAACTTACAGAAGAAAGAGAAACTCAGAAGCTGCCAATGAAGAATGTTTAATATTCATTTATTGCTGATTTCCATCCACCAATAAATAACCATAAGTATGTTATATGGTAATATTAATTATAATTAAGTCATGTGATTTAATAGTTTCAGTATGGAAATATCAATATTACAAGTGTCATAAAATAGATAACCCTGCATAGAACAGAAACATCTCTGAACTGGAATTTTGTTTGTCCCAGCTTCAACAGATTTGACTGTGCATGTGTTATGGTAAAGATCCCAGAATTTAAGAAAAACTACACAGAACACACTTCCCCTTACTGTGAGTCACACAATTTTGAACCATTTTTGTTATTAAATACATAAAAGTATTTTGTAAAATAACTTTTTATATGATGGTGCCAATATTCCCAGCTAGTTATTAACAGGAGGAATGCTCTCTCGCATTCAAATCCAACATAATATTTCTATTTATCTACATTTTCTAGTCTCTGCTTGGATTTTGCACAAAAATTTTAAATAGTGCTTTTCCATTACTAGTACAATTTACCTATTTAATTACATTTTACCCTTTTTATCATAAATTTGTTCTAGAGAACATAAAACCGATTCATTAATTTTCTATAAACTATTATTTCAGAAGTTTATGTTGCACTGATAAAGCATACTTAAATTCGTGTCCATAATATTGGAGATTATTTAATTATAAATAATTACATTCTGCTTTTGTAAGTGTAAAAATGTAATATATCTACTTGTTTCTAAACATAATGGTACATACCCACAAACTTCATTCCAGCAGCTTCCAGTTCTGGCACATATTTAAGATTAACCTCATATCTGTGCCTATGTCTTTCTTGAATTTTGTCCTTTTTACCATAAAGTTGTTCTAGAAAAGCAAAATTGATTTATTAATTTTCCACAACTCTCTGGCTGTAATTCAGTTCCAAATTATTCATGTTTTGAATTTTAACCCCACATGGCAAAATAATATTTCAATAATAAACATCTGGAAGACTAACAAAGCTTTAAAGTATATAAAGTTAATAGTAATTCATTTTACACAATTATCAAACATGTTCAATACTCACTCATAATGGAATTGTTGACATTCAAAATAGTGTCTCGCTTTCCTAGACGCATAGTACCTCCCATCTGGCCTGGATTATGTTCTGGCATATCAATAACCAAAGGATGTGAGGTATCAGGATCTATTTCAGTTGTGTTTGCATCAGGCATATTCAACACATTCCTGTTTTAAAAAAATCCTGATTAAAGCATTGAAATTAGTCACAAGAACTGAAATTTTAAGAAGTGACAGAGATATCGGAACATACATAATGCAAATTTTCAATTCTTGTAATAGCATTACAAAATGCATATCATGTTGTCATGCTCCAAAAACAGATTGCTTTTGCCCCAGGTTTCCAGACATTTCAAGTGTTTATTTATGAACAGTTTCTCAGATACAAAATTTAACTTAAAAAGGTTTTTAAAATCAAAGAAATATGTATCTACACTATAGCGTATAAACAAACTTGCCTTCAAACAATTCAGAATGCATAGACATGTGAATACACACAGAGACACATCAAACCCACGGGTTTTTAGGAGAATCAAAATTCATAAGGACACTTCAATTCTACTTCATAGAACTATCATACCTTTAAGAAATATGTTTAATAATAATCACTTTAATGCTATACCTTGCAAATTCAATAACAGCTGCCTGCAAACCCAGACATATGCCTAGAAAAGGCTTTGAAGTAGCTCTGCACCACTGACATGCTTCTATCTTCCCTTCCATTCCACGTTTGCCAAATCCACCAGGCACAATGACACCACTAAAAAGTAAATTAATTTGAACGTATTAATGGTTTAAGACAGGAATCTTTCTTAGACCATTTATAGTCATTAACTAGATCAATAACAATCAAACATAGGTCATGCCACTAAAAACAATACAGATAGTTTTTAAAAATTGTTAAAACTAAAAATTAGAGATACAACTGCCAACATTGCTCGACACATCTTCCAATAAAATTTCCAAAAAACTAACTATCCACCTATTTATACATTGGCACAGTCACAAAGAAAAGTGGTATTTATTGGCTAAATAAGGAAAATGATCTTACTCGCTTTTACATAACTGCTGCCATGCCTCATGATACAACACAGGGTCAGAAAGTTTGGTTTCTTTCTCCAAATTTGCAGCTTCAATGTACTAGAGAAGGGAAAAAAGGCAATTTCACAATCATTCACCATATACACAATATCCATTGGAACACAAAATATTTTATATTTCATTGACAAACATGTCAGAGCTATTTCTCGAACGTTCAGGATATGCTCCTACCAAGTTCCAGTATATACCATTGAATGGGTTGCCAATTTTATATGCTTTACAGTGGCACCTTACCTTTGCAGGACATATATTTAAATTAATCAATGTTTAATTAACCTTAAATGATACCATCAGCAAAGTGAAATGTTTGTTCTCGAAAAAGATAAACACAAAATATAATATTGAATTTATAGAGAAAGACATCTTTACATTTTTTTGTTTTTTTACGTAAGTACAAATTATTTGCAGATGAAGAAAAACCCATAAAATCAGCTGCAATTATTACTCAGTTCATCATTGATACTGCAGCTAAAATAAGCATGCATAATCACAAATGGAAATAAAAGTTAATAGAATATAATGTAACTTGTGTGGAACCATCTAACTGATACAAAATTCAATTATGCAAAATCTGTACAACACAATCAATGTGTAAAATTTATTAATACGAAGTTCTCATTGCACCAACATGCACATTTAGTAATTCAGAATGTAGTAAAACCGTATACGATTAGAATTCTTACCTTTAGATTTAGTTTGTAACCAGCACATATAGCAGCATGTTGAAGTGCTTTTGTAACAGATGCATATGAATCTTCCAATTTGGTATATTTACCAACTAATGCAATATTGACATCCTTTCTTAACGTATCCACTCTTATGAAACAAGAAGTAAATCATGTGACCATATAAATAGTGATATATTTCTGTTAGTAATTGAAAGCATTAAAACTTTTTATACCTCTCAGCAAGATCTTTCCATTTGTGCATGAAACGTCGAGGTGGAGGCATCGCAATACCCAATTGCAGCCTATCATTAAAGAATTCAACAATGCCTTGGCTTTCCATAAGAATAGGCACTCTGTATATTGAAGTTAAATCATGAATACATATAACCTATGGCATAGAGAAAGAATTGCATTAATTTTCTCACATGCAATTCATAATGTTCATCATTCTTGCATTTAGTACAAAAATTAAAACAGTTTCCAAATATAATCACAACCTGTTTTCTGATAAAAAAAAAACAACACTTATTTTAGTATGAGCCTCTCACAGTGTTTCAAACTCTCACTTCGAAATGTTTTATATTGCTTATCATTATCATAAATATTGATTTTCTCCCCTCCAAATATCACAAGCAATTTCTTACCATTCAAGAAAGTCGTTTGAAAAAATAATTCTGAGTTCTTTAGATTACTAAGAACTTAAAAGATATTAAGCAGGACATTCAAGATGCGTCAAAACCTTTTAAAAATGATTCAATTATTCATTAAACATGACTTACACACTCACATCTGAGCATCAATTTCAAACATTTAGTTCATACTTAGACCCTCACAAATATTAGTGTTAGTCATGATAGTGCTTTCTCTCTTCACACAGCCGCACAAACATAACAATTCAATATTACTAAAAAGTATTTACTAATTGCCAACTAAAATTGTTGATAAAATAACTAAATTCACTGTAAATCACACCATCACTAATAAGCATGACAAAAATGAAACTATTCCAGTTAATTAATCCATTTGTTCTCCTAAATCCAATGAATGGAAATCTCCGAATTCCAATATTTGCAGTAAAAAATCTCAAAACATACATGACAAATCGCAGAATTACTGAAAATAATTTGTAACTTTAATGTTTTTCAATAATTTTCTATATCACGCTTATAATATTCTACAACTGACACTCCTACAATTTACATCTTTTTGAATTCCTAATTTATTTCATAATCCACATGTATAATTCTTGAGACATAACTTGACTTACTTGATCAGGTGCTACATGACAGAAGTTTGATATTTTTTCTTTTACTGAATGTCCAATAGGATTCTCACTTCTGCAGACAACCAGATCAGGAGACAATCCCAAACCTCTTAATTCGCGAACACTAGATTGGGTGGGTTTTGTTTTGTGCTCTCCAGTTGATCTTGGCTGCAACATATATCAAGGAATCGTAAATGTCTTATTTTATTACTGAAGTAAAAGGTTGTTCTCGACTTCTGCTTTATTGTATAATGAACATCAGAAATGGATATAACACACGATAAAATAATGACACATGTTTCCAATTTCAATTAATATTTTAAAAAATTATGAGATTAGAGAAGCATTGCTTATTTCAACACTACGTATTTGATCCACAAGTCAAACACAACAGTTTCACATTGTGAAGCTATAGCCATTTTACACTATATAATTTTAATGAAAAAATATAACTAAATAAATTTTTTACATCAATTGATCTTACACACATTCAAAAATATAAGTAAATATTATTCACACCTGAGGTACAAGGGAGACATGAGCACAACAGAAGTTCTCTTTTTTAACTCTAAACTGGAATTGGCGGAACGCTTCTACAAAAGGCATTCCCTCAATATCTCCAATGGTACCGCCCAGTTCAATAATACAAACCTACAAACATAATCCTCCATTTAGACACATGCATTACAAAGCACTCTTAATTATAAAACATTATTACTCTGTCAAATTGTCACAAATCTTACCTGTGGCTTGGTACCATTAGCTGTTACAGATTGATTAGCAACCCTCTCAACCCACTCTTGGACGGCATCAGTAATATGTGGGACAACTGTAAAAAAAAGCAGGTCATAAAAATCATGTTGAGAATGCTCTAAATAGTAATTAAAATAATTACACACAACATACCTTGCACAGTTTTCCCTAAATAGTCTCCTCTTCTTTCTTTATTAATAACATGCTGGTAAATCTTTCCAGTGGTGATATTGTTGTCACGATGTAATGTAACGTCAAGAAATCTCTCATAGTTGCCAAGATCCAGATCAACTTCTCCACCATCGTCCAATACGTACACTTCACCTACAATTATACTTGTCAAATGGAATGCACTAAACCATACGCAACTTTACTACTAATATAACCTAAGTAACTAACTCACCATGCTCATACGGAGAAAACGTGCCGGCGTCAATATTAATATACGGGTCAATTTTAATGGATGTCACATGTATATTGCAACATTTCAGAATTGTGCCAAATGAACTCGCTATGACTCCTTTTCCCACGCCACTTATCACACCACCGGTCACTAATATGTATTTCATTGCAGCAAAATAAAAAATCCTGTAGATAACTAAAAATTCAAAAGCACAGCTTCGCACAGTGCATCAGCAATGCGCCAATCCGTGGCGCCAATGTGGTTCCCGGCAGTTCCCGGTCCACGTTTTCCTGGGCATTATGGGAATTCCTCTTCCTGCAAGGATTTTACAAGATCCCCAGCCAATAGGCAAAACGCTTTAAGTAACTTGAAAACAGCTGCTAGATAGCACTACAATACTTTTAAAGATTGTTCTATCTTCACTATGGTTAGTAAAGCGCGAAATTATAAGAAACTAGACTACAGGCATTACAAGCATGGTTATGCCAACCATTCGTATTTATGCATTTAACAATGTTCTCAAGCCTTATCAGGAATTCAAAATTAAGTAAATTCTCCTTTAATGTTTAATTTGTTGCGTTAATCAGTCATGTGTCACAACTTCACTATTTTCTCGTATTATTGATAATATTGCGTCATAAAATTATATTGCACTTTCTTCCCCTACTAATATGATATAACTCTAAATTACGCAAAAACTACAAATATTTTGTATGTTCCTTTATTGAGAAGTTAACACGGATATTCTGGGGTAACGTATTCGAGTTCAGAATACACACAACTTTGGTCGATTACGATACTGGCGGATACTAAATTTTTAAATGTCTCTTCGTCTCTCTTTTACGTGAAAAACAATGTCCATTTTCTGTTTTGGCTTGATTCAAGCGCCGTTAAAGTTTAGAGTGTATACCGAGAGACCATACCGAGCATCCAAAATGAAAGTAATATTCATTTTAAAAGTGGCATTTAATGTATTATTTACCATTTGGATTGGGTAATTCTAAAGAACCTATAACAAGTATTGTACTTCAGCTTCTGGGTTAATGACCTTCATCTCGATCAGGTTTCCTTGATCCTTGAGCAAATGCTGAGATAGCCCCTTGTTTTACTTCTGGACATAAATGAAACTTCAAATTAACTTCTCCCCATCACATGTCACCCACATTTTTTAAACTGTTTTTGGCATTAAATAAAAATAAATAAATAAATAAATAAATAAATAAATAAATAAATAAATAAATAAATAAATAAA